CTATCACGAAGTGTGTTAGGGTTAGGGTTGGGCTTAGGGTTAGGGTTAGGGTTTTTGCATCATTCCTTGATATACGGAAATTCTGTGCATCAGTTGATGATACACAGAAATCTGTGCATCACTTCGTGATACCTAAGGTGCCTAAAGTGGATTTGCACCTTGGCATATTAGATAGTACCAGGGTACGTTCCGGTATACCAGAACGTACCCTGGTCACTATTTGATATGGTCAGGGTTAGGATTAGGGTTAGGATTAGGGTTAGGATTAGTTTTTGCATTAGGGTTAGGGTTTTTGCATCATTCCTTGATATACGGAAATTCTGTGCATCAGTTGATGATACACAGAAATCTGTGCATCACTTCGTGATACCTAAGGTGCCTAAAGTGGATTTGCACCGCCATGACCATATCAAATAGTGACCAGGGTACGTTCTGGTATACCGGACCGTACCCAGGGTACGTTCCGGCAGTACCCTGGGGGACATAGACCCTATGAGCGCCACTGGCGTATATATAGCCCGCGGATAGCTGCCGCAGGCGGTGCAAATCCACTTTAGGCACCTTAGGTATCACGAAGTGATGCACAGATTTCTGTGTATCATCAACTGATGCACAGAATTTCCGTATATCAAGGAATGATGCAAAAACCCTAACCCTAACCCTGACCCTAGCTCCAAGAAACGGTATCGCTAGGGTTAGGATACCCTAGACAATCCGTATACGGTATAGACAATCCGTATCGACAATCTGTATAGACAATCCGTCGCACAGCCTGGTCGGGCTAACCCTAACCCTAACCCTATAAGCCCAACCCTAACCCTAACCCTAAGCCCAACCCTAACCCTAACCCTAACACACTTCGTGATACCTATTAGTAAGGTTATACTTTATGCCTTAGGGTTAGGGTTTTTGCATCATTCCTTGATATACGGAAAGTCTGTGCATCAGTTGATGATACACAGAAATCTGTGCATCAGTTGATGATACACAGAAATCTGTGCATCACTTCGTGATACATAAGGTGCCTAAAGTGGATTTGCGCTGCCGCAGGCTATAGTACTAGAGCTACCACTGGCGTAGCTCTAGTACTATGCCAGTGGCAGTTAATGAACGCGGGCTTTAGTACTAGAGCTACCGCTGGCGTAGCTCTAATACTATAGCCCGCTTATGGTATTATTAACTGCCGCTGCAGCTACAGTTACAGCAGCAACAGCAACTGCAACAGCAAGCTACAGTTACAGCTACGGCTACAGCTACAGTGGACCGAATAATTCTGTCCCATATAACCTTTTTTATATTTTGGTGAGGGTTATATTGGGACAGAACTGGGGTTCATTGAAATTTCGTGAGATCGCATGCAAAATGCATGCGCTGCGAATGCGGCCCGTACGCCGCTATATTGGCGTGAAAAAACCCTACCGTTCCCTTCTACATGGCTTTACCTTGCTACTGATATGTGTATACATTCACTTCAATCGTTATTCACTTCTTAAAAGATTGTTTTTCAGAAAGACCGCTTCGTTCCACTTTCCTAAATCATTCACCATTTACAAACAATCAGACCAATCAGAGCGAGTCTATCAGCCCTCCTGCAGCGCCACAGATACAAGCGAGAACCAGGCGATTGTAAGACTCACTCTGATTGGTCTGAAGGGAACGGTAGGTTTTTTTTCACGCCAATAGCGGTGTACAAGCCGCATTCGCAGCGCATGCATTTTGCATGCGATCTCACGAAATTTCAATGAACCCCAGTTCTGTCCCAATATGGCAATAACCATCATCAAAATTAATAAAAAAAGGTTATATGGGACAGAATTATTCGGTCTACAGCTACAGCAGCAACTGCCGTTGTAGCTACAGCTACATTAACTGCCGCCCGTGTGCAACACACACGCATCTATTGACTATATATAACATGGTTGTTATATATAGTCAATAGGTGCGTGTGTGCTGTAGCTGCAGGTGCGGACTTGTTCTTGCTGCCAGTGGTTTCAGCGTTTCTTTATGGCACATCTATAATGTAACCCAGGGTTCGACACTAACCCACGTCTGACCGACCTAGTCGGGTAAATGCTTGGTACGGTCGCATACATCCAGCCGTGTACATTGTCTAGCAGAGCGTGAGGCCGGGTACCAATCTACCCTTCGGCAAAAACTATATGGTGGCTTGCTGCCAGCCGCAGTAGACAATCGATAAACCGTGCACCTGTGTATGCCCACCGTATGCCCACAGACTGCCCGTGGTAGGATACGAATGCTGCACGTGAACTCGGCACGCCCGCAAGCTGTGATCTGTACGCTGTGTAGCGCAGCTTGCTAACCAGTACAGGGTGCTAAAAAAAAAATTGTTTCCGCTTGCCCGGTCGGGCAAGTGGGTTATGAAACTGGTTGCTCGAAGGCAAAAGTCACTTGCCCGAAAAACAAAGAAATACATACGATTTTTTCTATTATGAATTTAAATGGTTTCAAAAGCCCGGTTCAAAGGTAGTCACGATACAAGAAACAGCACACAAAACTTGATTCCCTTTAAAGGCTCACAATGCGCATCCAAACGCTAATTTCTCCAGTACTAGACTAGCAAATACTTCGTGTCATGCATAATCATACTACCTTATGGCAAAATAAACTCTAGTTCCTCCCATTTCACTGCGCGTTGTCTTATAAAAGGTATTTTGAAAAATACCTCCAATGTTGTTGAAAATCTCCGATGTTGTTGACAGTTTCCACAATCCCCTAGCAACCGTGCAGCGGTGCGGCGGTACAGCGCTACGGGCGCAGCAAAGATAAAAACATGTGACGTCATACCGGCGCTAGTTAGCTACATGCAGACGCGCTACATTGATCGCAGTATCCCAAGTATGGGAAAATGTAAAATATAAAAACATAACATCACATTTGAAGGTGTGTGTTTATATCTGTAGTGCATCCGAAACTATAGTTCTATATTTATTTACAGGTGAAGGCGACGCTACCAAAATGTCGCAAGACATATTTCCACTCCTCAGTGTTGCAGAAATAACAAACACCTGTCAGGAAATGTTCCCTGGCTTAAAAGTTACGGAGGAGGATTTCACAAACCCAAAGGTAGATGTTATGAACTATAGTAATCTGTTTGAAGTGAGGGTCTTCCACATCACACGTGTGATTTCTGTGTATTAATTACAGGCCCGATCCATGTCTGCATGTCAAAAGACATTTCAACCTGGCAAACAGTTTATTAGTATTATGACTGTGCCAATGCCCACTGTGAAGCAGTGCCCTAAGTGATTGTCCTTCGTTTGGGGCAAGTAGACAGGTCTTGCATGGTACCATGCTCTGACCTTTGAGTTATTTATTTTCGATTAATTATTCTACCAGGTGTAGACAAAATGTTCAAGTACGGCTGAATCAAATGAACGCATGGTCTTTTTGGCATGTCTGTGTGAATTACAATGATTTTGGTTAACACTCTGATTTTGTGGTCTATTCAGTTGTAAAATTAATATAGATTTAAATGTCAAATTTTTAATGTTTGTTTACCACAAATACGTCACATTTGAACTTGAACCTGAATTTGTTTTAAATGTCAATTCACACTTGTAACTGAAGGCTTCCGCATCACCATTGAACTCATCCAATTGTGCAACTGTTTACACAAAGGATTTATCTTATGGATGAATTTATTCAAAATCAGATTTCTTTCAGTGTAAGTATTTACGCATCATAATATTTGCTGTTATAAGCATTTCTACCTCATGTGTTTTTGTTCACAGGCAGAAAATATTAGAGCATTATATGTCTATCTGCTAGAATCAGTAACAAACTGCAATGTGGAAGTGATATTTTCGGTATGTATATAATGATTAAAAAGTGTTCACACTTTTCTTGTGAAGTTACTTTAATAAGCACTAGATAAAGCTCTTACATTGTGTAGTTATAACAAAAAGCAAATAATATACTCCATGTAATCATGTTATTTAAGATTTAAACTATAAAACGTAAGCATTGACAAATATGTGTTTTTTTCTAGCCGCAGGTTGAAAACATTGATCACAATGACCTTTTGAGCTACCCAGAATTACATGTAGAGTCTATTCCTCCAGTCAATATCTTATTTGCAATGTATGTATTTATTATCATTTATGTGGGCTAAAAAGCATCATTACCATTATTATAAACTTGTGCAAAGTGGCGGTGTAGCAGTGGCAATCCCATACATCAGCATAACTTTGCATGTGATGGATAGTAGTATCATGTTGGTCGTTGTAACTCTTGGCAACCTAGTGCATACTCGTGCGTATTGAAGTAACATAGATTGACACTGTACGTGTTACTGTCGTACCCAAACTTGGAATCTGCACAATCTCAAGATTGTGCAGCGATTGCGCTGCCCAAACTGCGGATTCCCTAGTTTGGCTGACCAATCTCAAGATTGGGCAAACTGAAAACAGTCGGTGATTCAACAACCGCTCATAGCGAGTGCGTGGCGTGCGTGGTGGAAACTAGGAAGATATTTATCTCATATTTATCCAATTAATTATTATAATCATTTAACATTTATACAAAGGTGCCAAACACATTGAGGAAAGAAGGTATACGACCTTATAGTTATGATATAACATTTGAAATCCTAATAATCATATGTGTGTGCAAGCCCTGTTTACCTCTGTTTGCCCAATCTCAAGATTGGTTGCCCAAACTGCGGATACGCTGAAATTCCAAGTTTGTGCAAGATTCCAAGTTTGGGCACAACATTACTCAGTTACTGTGACGTAATTTATTCTCGCGAGTGTCAGAGTAACATACTACATACTCGTGCGCATCAGTGTAACAAACTAATGCTGTTCTCCATGCGTCACTGGTCACAGGAAAAGTGTGATGCAGTCTGCTGGCATCAGCAACTTCCAGATGAAGGACCTGACAACACCAAAGCCAAAACGAGTTGCAAGAATCATGAGTGCATTCATCAACTTTGCTCACCATAGCAACAACATAGGAGAACTGTTTGAAGAAGTGCTTGGTGAAATTGTATGACAACTCCAGGAATCTTCTAGTTTATTCTTAGCTTATCTTGATCTAATTTCTTATTACAAAGCATACATTACAAGAAGCATTACAAATACGTAGCATAATGTTCTAATATGGTCACAATGCAAACTGTAGTCATTATAGGTTTCAACGGTATTTCCGGTAGTGAAATGTGCATTGGTGTTTTATTTATCCTTATCTAACATTTTTCATGTTTTGTGTATGCAAATTTAATCGTGGTATAAAGCTAATACAGCGGTTGTCATCTGATTTGACAAAGTGTCAACTTTGGCTTTATGTAGGAAGCTAAAAGAGAAGCCTATCATGCATTGCTTGAGAATCTCAAGAGGAATCATGCGGCCGAGGATGCTGAGATACAAGAGGTGAGTAGTGTGGTGTCAAAAACAAGTACTGATATCACTGTACAAGGCAATACTCTCATTACGGTCAAGCTGTACATTTTGTCGATTGCACCCTGAAATGGTCTTTGTTGCTTGGAAGCATTGTGCTCGCCAGTAGTGGCTATTGCAATAGATGCTGGAAGATGATGCTGATAAACGTCTAACATGACAACAATCGTAGCAGTGTTAATTAGACTCACAGATATTTCATAATGCTTGCCTCCACCAAAAGTGCTTGGGTTTTTGAGGAGCAATTGAATTTTTATCCAGGTGCATGGATGAAAACATGTATCACACTAATCAAGATTTGTTCAAGACTGGCTGCCTTCATTAGCTCTGCCTCACATGTTGAGCTCAAAAGATATCATAAAAGATATCATGACAGTTACATTTAACCTCATCACTCATGGTAACAGTAGCATTTGGCATATTTAACCTCTATATGCAACCTTGCAGCTAAAGCAGAAAATTGAATCGGACACCGACTTAATCAGCAAAGAAAAAAAGGAGGCGGTCGTAATACAGCGACAGATTGCAGAGTCTGATGCCAGCCTGGCCAGCAAGAATAGTCGCATTGTAAGTATGCCTAGATCCATTATCAGTAACATAAATAGTTTTGGCATAATAAATCTAAAATGTCGTAACCTTTGCTGATGACACATTTTCAAAACTTGTGACATGACTCATGCCTATTCGTGATATTCCTGACAATGGTCCCCTGGATCTTGCTTGGGAACTGGGCATTGGTTTGCTCCACAGACAGCCCCACATAACAAACATCTGGCATACAAACACCTGTACTTAGGGAGGAGCTTACCTGACCTACCTTCTCCTTCCATTCTCAAACTTCCTCTCTGATACTTTCTTTCTCTCTCCCCCCTCTCTCTCTGTGTCCCTCTCGGTCTCTCTCTCTCTCTCTCTCTCTCTCTCTCTCTCTCTCTCTCTCTCTCTCTCTCTCTCTTTCTCTATCTATCTATCTTTATATCTCTCTCTCCCTTCCTTCACCACTCTCTCCTGCTCTACCCCTTCCCTTTATCACTTCAGCCCTCTCGCCCTCTATCACTCTAAAATCACTCTAAACTCTCTCTCCATAACCTCATACCAGTCTCGCTTTCCTCCGTCTCCCTTTATCGCTTCCCCCCTTTCTCCCTCCCCTCTCCTTCCATCTCTTCCTACCTCCCCCTCCCCCTCCCCTTCTCCCTCCAACATTTACTTCCGATCTGTCTTCCCCTTTCCTGCTTCACTTCTGTCCCCATCTCTCCCACTCCTTCAATCACTTCCTCCCTCTTCCCTCCCCTTCTCCCTCCAACATTTACTTCCGATCTCTCTTCCCTCTTCCTCCATCACTTCCACACCCTCCTTCCCCCATCAGGGTATTAGCCAGCAATGAGTATTTTGGGAGTGCAGAAAAAATATTTGGTAGTGCAATTTTTTTGTATGTGTGTCCAGGCTTTCATTTTTAAGGGGCGCGATCGCGCTCGCGCTCCACCGCGCACCATAAATTGTGCCATGGTGCGCGCATCATCGCGCCTCATAAAAGTGGTTGAAATCGCGCACCAAAAGTCTGTGTATTATGTTGAAATAGCGCTCCATCTGCATAGAGTTCTCAATGTAGGGGGGTACAAAAAGGTTAGCAACACAC